AAAGAAAGAAAGAAAGAAAGAAAGAAAGAAAGAAAGAAAGAAAGAAAGAAAGAAAGAAAGAAAGAAAGAAAGAAAGAAAGAAAGAAAGAAAGAAAAGCTACGGGTATTCAACTTCTGTTTTGGTTCAGTCTTCTCCAATAATAGAATATAGGTTTCATCAGGCAACTGTAAAGAACAAAAAAGGGGTATGATTTTCTGAAATTGTAAGATAAAGACTCTCTCAAGTCAAGCTCAACTCTAGGTGTCTACATAGACACACTCATGTAGTTTTCTTGGCAACAACCTGGAAATGGTTTCCACTGCATTCTACTGGGAAGTTTTTCCCCACTTTGACAGCTCCAGGATTTCCTGGTAGTCTCCCACCCAAGTATTAATCAAGTCAGAATCTGCTTAGCTTTTTCAAGATCATCCAAGGTTGGCTAGTTACTGCCATCTTAGCTGGTCCTACTTACTGTGAACCAGCTTAAATCTCCAAGGCCAAATAAATAATATCCTAGGCTTTGAAAGAAAAACCCTTGCTATTAGTCCAGACAAGCCTTTATTTATTTTAATTGAGAATCCTGACGAACACACGAAGTGCCTGGCAATTGGAGGAATGCAAATATAGCTTCTATCTTCAAAAGAAGGAAAAGCAAAGATCCATGGAACTACAGACCCATCTAATATTGATTCCTGAGATGAATCTACAGCATATCATAAAGAGTTCAAACTGGAGCCAATTTGAAAACAATGCAGTGATTATTAAAAATTGCATGGATTTCTCAAGGGTAAATCTTGTCAAACCAGTCTCTTCTTCTCTTTGATTGCATAACTTTCTTAACAGATCATGGGAATCCTGTGGATATAATACATTCTGACTTCAGGAAAGAACCTGACTTTTGGATTAGCAAGCTGAACCTGGACCAAATGTCCTGACTGCTAGGTTGCTCCAGAGTTGGTTTGAAACCTGCACTCAAAACCAGCTTATCAACAGTTGTTGGTCAAACTAGACTAAATTACCTGTTGAAGGAGGCAGCACTAGAAGAACTAACCTTTTGCAGCCTTTACCCATCCACTGACCATTGGGACCAATTAGGGGTAGAGCTAGCATACAAGGGAAACCCTCTGTTCTCCCCTTTGCTTCCTTCAGCCTGCTTCTTACAAGAAAACGGAGTACTCATTGCTTTCTTTTCTTTCCCCCACCATGAAGACAGAAAGCTGAGAGATGCAGGTTTTCTATTAGCATCTGGCCTAGATCTGGTTTCATGTGGCAAAAGATCTACACCAGGGTGACAAAAAATTAAACAGCAGATATAGGATAGGGAATACTGGGCATGAAAATCCTACTTGTGGAAAAGATCTTGGGGTAGCAGTTGACGGCCAAATGATTATGTACAAAGGCTGTAAAAAAGGCAACAGTGATATTAGGCTGTACCAATAGAAATATGTTCCAAATTATGGGAAGTAACAATTCTAATTTTCTTTCTTTTGGTTTCTTCAGACTTTATCCTGGTACTGTGTCCAACTCTGGGCACCAGCCTTAAGGATTCAAAGAAACTGGAAGAGGTTTAGAGAACAGCAAGGAAAAAAGACGGGAGGAGCTGAGAGTGTTTAGTCAGGAGAAGACTGGGAGTGGCAGGTAGGACAACACCCTTCCAATACCTTAAAGGATGTTGTACAGAAAAAGGTCAAGGCCTGTTCTCTGTCATTCCTAAGGCGCAGAACACAGAATATGGTTGGCACCCAGAAGCAATATTAACACAACAGGGTAGCAAAATTATTAATTGCACAAGGAGTAATTATATTAACTCTAAAGAACTAGTTCCATGTAATTTTCATGACACTGAAATGTAAACTTAATTAAACTATATTTTCCCCTGTCTCCACTCAATTTTTTTACCTAATCCTGTTTTTTGAAATACAGCTCAGCTTGCCACTCAAAGGCCAAGGCAAAGCCTCGCACCCATCCATGTGCAACAGTTATCCCAGACCTTATTCCCACAAAGGACGGACCTCCAGGGTTCAGGCACAGGTGAGCAGGCGTATGAGAGATACGGGAGACACTCCTTTAGCTCTGGACAGATACAGGGCTAGAGATACGGCCCCACTTCCCTCATTGTTCTTGTTGGGCTTCCTTCACTCATAACCAATCCCAGAAGTAGAATGTTTTAGTCCCCTGCACCTTGGTAAGTGGGTAGATGCCCCAAAGAGAGTGTCAGGAAGGCGTTTCCCCCATGCAAGGGAGAAGCAGTGAATATCAGAACTTCTTCCAATCTTGATTGGCATAATAAACAAAGAGATGACAGAGGCAGAATTATTATTATTATTATTATTATTATTATTATTAACATTTATAGGCCGCCTAACTCCCAGTGACAAATATATAGAGATAGTGAAGTACTGGGACAGATGTAGTGATGTACAGAGATTGAGATCTGTAGAGATACACAGATACTGCACGTAGATTCCTTCCTTCCTCTCTCCCTCTCTCTCTCTCACACACACACAGTGATAATCACATACCAAAGAGAGTACAAAACAGAGCTCCAAGCACTGGATCAGGAAGAGATGCAAACAGCGCACTGAACTTGCCAACCGTTCCAAGTAGCAGCATGAAAGCAGCCCCATACTGAATAACTCGTCGACTTCCAACCTATAAAACATTCACATGGGGAAAAAAAAAACGATTCTAAGAGGGATGTGGTTGGCATCAAATTTATACCCCATCCATTACAAGCCTGAAAATCTTGCACAGAAAATGTTTTTTTTAAAAAAAAACACAATAAAGCACACTGTGGTGGCCGTGGGAGATGCTGGGGACGGGAAGCCTTTAAAGCAGATCTGTATACTTTCTGGCCATATTGTACAATGATGTGCCATATAATATGTAAAACATGACAGGCTACTGGTTACTACTGAAACCTAAAGTTATTCTTAGATGCTATTCTTTTCTAAATGTGGAACCTACAGATTTGCAACTTAATTTTACTAACAGAAGCGCAAATAAAAATTGTACAATATTAGAAAGCTACTGGAACATCTAAACCTACATGGAAAATATTTTGTTAAAGGTAATGTGCACTCCAATGAGTTTATACAAAAGTAAAGTTTGTTTCAAACTTTGGAGATCCTTATTTCAGAACAGGAACTAGCTGTATACATTTTTCCACTATATATCTATGTTTGTGTGAAATATTTTGTTTTCTTTTAAAACACAAAGAAAAATGATTTAAATTATGATTACAAATTGAACACCCTATCTGGTTGTAAAACAGATCTGTGCAGCAAAGTTAATATTAGCATACATTCCATCAAATGTATAGACCTGGAACCTCTTAGCATTTATTTACTCTTATGAATGTATTAAAGTGTAAGTCAGATGCTACTAGCAAATCTTTCTTTAGGGCTGCAATCTGATTCATGTAAGAACCATAAAATATACAAGTTCTGTCAGGACTTTGGCACAGACACAGAACGTGTGTCACAGATTTGATACAACAATGGCTTAATCAACTCCACTCCCTTCTGGGTTTGATTCACAGTAAACCAACTAAAAAGCACTCTAATCACTTTCTCTACAAATCCCCTCTTAGTGGCTGGATTGAGCCAGGAAGAATGACAAGAATGGAATGTAGTTTTGTTACCCAAATACAGTGGTTAAGCCACAATGTAATCTGCTTATTTGGGGCTAATAACAATTAAGATTTTTGACCTAGCATAAGGCGATGCTGTATGTCTACCCGCCTACATAGTACCACAATACCAAATACAAATGCTTCTTTGAACATCCTCTCACTTAATATAAAGTTAGACCACGGAAACAGAAATTAGTACAAGCCACGCTTTCTCTTTTCACAAGCATTTTTCTCCTTTAACGTTCAAAGAGATACATCCAGTAGGTGGCAATGTTTGAACTTGGACTACCAAAACCATGGGGGGGGGGGGAATAGTTACAGGCTAAACTAAACCTGACTCTAGTAGACCTAATCATGAATAAACTGGACTTGCGGCTGTATGGATTACAGTTTAAAGCACAAACTCTCATCCCATCTCTACCCAACCTGCTTCTCCACTTTGTTTTTTGTTTTAGTGAAAATAAGCCTTCCTTTGTGTGTGGCTGCAGGGTCAGGTAGATGATTCTGACTTCTCCACTTGAAGGGACCTGTTGTGCTCTGAATTACACAGGCACATAAAGCCTATATGGAATTGGGGCAGATCCATGTTGCAAGATGCAAGTCCGGCACATGAGACCTCGCTTGGCACATGAGACCTCGCTTGGCTCAATGGCCTTTTAGAATATTGCTGGACCTTTTTTGTTTGTCTGAACAAGAGTTCCGACAACTGATTACACTTTTACGTGCCACTTAATAAAACGTTAATTAACTACATTCCTTCATAATAACCATTCCATTTCATATTCACTTTTGGTAAAGTAGTGTATAAACCTCACTTGATTCCAATTTATGCACAGAATTGATGAAGCCTTTCATTTTTTACTGAGTCTTCTGTAGGTTAAAGTTCAAAAGGAATCTAAATCAACAATCTTAAAATATGCAAGCCACAGCCCTCTTCAAAGCATATACTGAAAAAAAAAATTAGTGCTTTCTCTACCTCTGCTCTTGAGCAAGCGTTTCTCAATCCAAGGAACGCTTAGGCTGGATACAAACATTGTATGAGCTCCACCAACTGTAATTTATTCAGTGAACCACGATTAAGCAAACTGGAGCTTAGCATGACATTTGAACAGTTTATATTCTCAAGAATACTGATAAGCAAATGGAATCCGCTTGCTTAATGTAACATACCTTTGTAATTCCCAAAACTCCAATATTAGGACTAGAAGAAGTAGATCCATTTCCAGTACCAAACACTCCATCTAATACACAGGAAAGGCCTTCTATGAAAATACCCCTGTGCCAAAAAGAAAAACATTGAGATTAAGAAATACAACATGTCTCAATTCAGAACAAATTAAACCCAAGGGAAAAAAATTACAATGTCCTGTAATAAGAACTGGATACAATTATTAAAATAGAAGTGTGACGAACTGGCCAAAGAGAAATACACATGTGCATTCATAATACAAGTAACAACACTGAGTGTGTGTGTGTGTGTGTGTATATATATATATATATATATATATATATATATATATGCGTATATATATATATATATGTATGTAT